TTTACTGCTGCTCTTTCTTTTCTTGCTGACTACTTTTTATTGTGTTTACCCTTTCTTCGTCTTTTTTCTTTCTTACTCGTTCATTTTTCTATGCTATACTATTTCCATTTTTTTATTGCACAAATTATCTTTTCTACGACTATTCTATTTTCTTTACCTTCTCGTTTTCTTTTTATTTTCATTTGTTTTCCAATTTATTAGATACATTTACTTTTATCTCATTCCATTTTTTGTTTCTTTTCTTGCTCTCTCCGTTCGTGTATTTTTTTTTATTCTCTGACTTATTTTCTCTCTTTCTGACCTCAAATGTTTAGTATTCTTTTCCTCCGCTTTTAGCTTTTTCCCTATTTTCCGGATTTATTTTTTCTCTCTTTTCTCATTCTTTCTCTTTCTCTCTCCGTATTTCTCTCTCTTTCCCTCTTCCTCGCTTTCCCCCTCCCTTTCCTCTCTCTCTCTCTCTCTCCCTCCATCCCTCTCAGATCTCCTCGCACATCTCCTAACTTAACAAAATTATAGATTAGTTATCCCTCTTAGAGTGTTCAAAGAAATTGGTACTTTTTTATTCTGTTCAAAGAAAACGTAAAACTCTTAGGGAAAACATTTTCATTTTGCTACATTTCTCCAGTCTCAAATCAAGAGAACTAGAGAGAGAGAGAGAACAAGCGAGAGAGAGAGTGAAAGAGAGAGAGAGAGAGAGAGAGAGAGAGAGAGAGAGAGAGAGAGAGAGAGAGAGAGAGAGAGAGAGAGAGAGAGAGAGAGAGAGAGAGAGAGAGAGAGAGAACGAGAGAGAGAACGAGAGAGAGAGTTCAACTGGTTCAAAGATATTACGACAATGACTCCTGATGTCTAACAGCGCATTCCTAATTTACATGCACAAAAGGGAATTGGAATAATAGCAAAAGGTAGATTTTTATTTCTGTTTTTATTCACCACTTTATTTACTAATTCCTTCCATGATGACAGCGCTGTTGAAAATGATATTATGATAATAATTATTATTATAATTACTCTTATTATCATTACTATTATTACTATTACTCTTAGTATAATTATCACTATTATTGTTATTGTTATTATTGTTCTCGTTAAAATTACTATTATCATTATTATTATTATTATTAAAAGACTATTATCATTATCATTTCTATCATTATTATCATAATTATTATTATTATTATCGTTATTATCACAATTGTTATCTTTCTCATTGTTATTGTAATTATTATTATCATTATTATTATCTCCATTAATATCATTACTTTTATTATCATCCTTATCATCATCATTAACATTATCATTTTTATTATCATTATCATCAGCATCATCATCATTACTATTACCATTTCTATTATCACTATCATCGTTATCATTATAATTGCCGACTTACTAAATCTAGTTTTCAGGGAAATGGGAAAACTAGGAAATATTTTTCTTTCTTGGTTTTACCTCGAAATTATTTTTATGAATAATAATGTATAAGTTGAAATACAAGATGAAAAAAAAACGGGTTATTGAATTACGGACCGTTTCCATGGCCAAGTTGCAAGTTGCATTTCGCAAGAATTTCCTGGAATTTTAATTCTTAATTCTTTTTATAAAATGAATTATATAAAAATTATCTCGTCTCCCCTGTTGCAAAAGCAAACAGCATGGGATGATTATAATTCTAACTAAACTTTATTACTTTATCTAATAACCAAGGTAATCGGCATTTTGAAATTCTACAAGACTGTAATGAAATGCAACACTTTGGCGTGTCAAATGACAATTCGCTTTGCAATTTAACTTTCAATCCGTAATCAACCTAAACGCAGCAGTGGAATGGAACCGAAAGGTATCTTGAGATCCAGGGAATTGTTTACTCTCGTCTCGAATCCACGGTCCTGAGACGCCAGGGTTGGGATATTTACGGCTACGTTACGAACGTCTGTATTATATTCTTGCTATTATCGCTATCGCAGTTGGTGCTAATTTCAGTACTGAATGATTCTTTCTATAATGTTTCATCGTTAAGCTAATCAAATTCGTGTTATCGCACTTTGTACGACGAGCAAGCGTTAGAATACTCTTGAAAAAAAAGTAAATTTCCTTTTTGGGAGATTCCGGCGCCATTCACTCTCGCGCCTATTTCCTCCTCTCCTTTTGTTTCCTTAGAGGATTCAGAAATCCCGTCAGAACCTTGGTGCTTTTTATTAATATCTCTCGGTCGGATGCCGGGCTCCGTCCGCAGACTATCAAACAGACACTCAAGCAAAGGCACACTCGCTCCCAATAACGCAAACATTAATTCACGTATACAGGCACACACACACTCACGCATACACGTACGCACGCACACAGACACACACACTCACGCATACACGTACGCATGCACACAGACACACACGAAGGCATGCATGCAGGCAAGCACGAACATGCACAAGTGAAGTGCTCGCTCATGCGCGCGCGTACGCACATACACACACGCATAGTCAAAATCACACATACCGAAGCACACACA